GTTCCAATAATAAGAGTAAATGATCCGTTTTTAGGTCAAAATTCGGCGAGTTGATGAACGCCTCTCCGCTCTAGGAAACGTGATAGCTTGCAATGACCATGTTGCCATTGTGCATGCCGAAATAAGTCAGGAAACAGAAGAGGCACTCGTCGATACTCTTAAAACTGAGGTGTTTCGTGTGAGCCTCGGTCAGAACGCCCTTGTGAGTTCCTATGTTTCAAAGTTCCATTAATTCATTAGGGTCATTAAAATTCATGATCAACTTCGAACATGATCTTTTTCTCACCTCGGATGGTAAACTACCTGCCTCATTCATTTTCTCTGGGCTTATTGGGGTGAACATGAGCACATTAGAGGCTATTGGCCACGTTTACCTGGTAAGGTGGTAGCACAAAAGGTAGCGAAAAGCTACGAATCATGAATTTTCATTCTTCACTCATTCCTAATTTTAGGTAGGATCATATTGCGCCCTATCATCGCAAGGATGCTTGGTAGCGGCTCGTACGCCTCCAGAAACTCAAAGAGAACTTGCTGCTTTGTTGCAAGTTCCGGTAGTTGCTGGCACAGTCAACCGTGGCTCGGAATTGATCGGAGCCGGCATTTGTGTGAACGACTGGGTTGCCTTTTGCGGTTAGTTGGTTTTCGTAAAATTATTTGCTTCGGAATTTCTCTCTGGCTTGAACAGTGAGCTTGTAAGTTCACTAGTTGAATGTCTCTTGAAAAACTCAAAACACTCAAACGCTATAAAATACCTTTGCAGCAGTTTCGGCGCAATGTGGCTCAGGTGTGGGGGGGGGGGTGGTAGTCGCCGCCGCGGCGCGTCGCATGTTCGCGTACCTCAGTGCGGAGCGGGGAATCCGTGAGCCAGGGGGAGTGTAGCCAGTCTAGGGGGTGGGGGTGAGGGCAGTCACTTGACATGCGTGAAAAGCTGGAATGTTCGAGTTTCCACTATGTCGCGACATGCCATGAGCTGCCCCCCCCCCCGAGCTACATTGAGCTGTTTTTTAGTGCAGTGTGTCGAGTTTGTCGAAAATGAGTTTTTGACGAATAATGGATTTATTATAGGTCTGGACACTACCTCAACAGAACTCTCCGTAGTAGAATCTATATTCAAACTAGGTGACCATGGTCAACCGACTGCCATTAGCACACAGCTTAGAGATACTCTTATCGAAAGTTTGCTATAATAGTGCACTAAGATACTCTGGAAATTGTGTTCTGATGTTTGGGGTGCCCGTGTTAAAATTTTATTGCATTGTTGTCACACTGATATTTCTATATTTGTTGTTCTGTTGTTCGTGCGCTGTACGTCTGTTGATTGCAAAATAAACAGTTAAACATGTTGCTATTCAAATCTGTGGTAAAGAATAACAGACGTCGCTTCGTCAAAGCCTTGTGGTTATTTGTGTGTTTTGAACTTTTTTCGTTTAACTTTCTGTTTC